GGAGGGGAGGCAGCACGATGGAGGGGGAGGGGGGGAGGCAGCACGATGGAAAAAGGGCATGAATAGGTGTAAACGTATACGGAACAAATTAATACCACATATCCTCACGTGACTGTGATATATACCATATATGGTTGTTGCGTTAAGTAATTTAATTCACCCTGAGGCATGCATGCATCGCAATAAGTATCCAAATAAGGTACTTCTACGAAACTTTAGCCTTAAAGACTGATTTTTAAAACCATTTTTACGATCAAGACACAGGTGTCTGAGATTTAATAATAATCATGTATCGCATACCAAATCAATAGGTGCACTTCAATGGATTTGTAAAAATCAATTTTAGTTTGATAAATATAAGTTGTTCAGATTTTGCTCCCCGCAATATTTTCTGTTGACTCGTGTAAAGGGGGTCGTGAATCCCTGCTACTATGGGGTGATCTAATGACAGCTGTGGATCTAAACATAATATTTAACACACGAGAGTTGGTGTTAGACAACCTCAATATGTACCCTAAGCCATTAGAGCCTTTGTTTTGTGTCAGTTCACGGTATCGATTAGCAATTACCGTAGGCCTATCTACATTCAACAGAACACGCATTCCCCGCCCTAACAAAGTACGTTTACGTATATGTTATCAGAACGGTAGATGCCATTAGTTTACTACCTCCATTTGTAGGAAAGGACGTTGATGATCCAGGGATTACACTCACATACGTTAAAAAGTCTACTCCCTGGAGTTTCGTCGATATGACAACTTGTGTTTATAATGAAAGTTAAGAGTAAGCATGGTCATAGCCTGGACGAATTAAAACTGAAGAACAAGGGAAAGCCTGGACAAATTGGAACTGATATACAAGGGAAAAGGCTGGGCAACTTGGACCTGATATACAAGGGGAAAGGCTGGGCAAATTGAAACTGATATACAGGGAAAAGCCTGGGCAAATTGTTACTGATATACGAGGGAAAAGCCTGGGCAAATTGGAACTGATATACAAGGGAAAAGCCTGGGCAAATTGGAACTGATATACAAGGGGAAACCTCGGATGGTGGTGTTGTTGTCTCGGGATCTTCGCCCCAAGAAACTGTAAAGTTTTAAGCATAACAGGCCCCCACCCCCATAACGTAGATCAGTCTTAAGGAAATAATGCCCTTTCATAAAAAAAACCTATAACTCTACATGTAGGCGGCGTATTGACAAAGGCAGCCATTAGGGGGCGTTACGGTCGTTGATTGCGATCACAATCTACGAGAGAACAACGTTGTAGAACAATAGCTAGCCATTTCTGCACGTTCAATACACAATGACGAAATCAACCTTACCCGGTGTTTAAATCCCGAGTTTAAATTACGGTCGATGTTGCAAAATTAATTTTGACATTTAAAAAATCCGTCTACCAAACATCGTGACGTCAATTTAAAATATATAATATCTATAACGCTAATGGGCAGTTTTGTATTAACACTATATGACATATTCTGTGTTCCATGCTTATTTACGTATTCTGAGCATGAAAATAATTAATGTGAAATTAAAAGTTCAAAACCCATGGATTCGCTAAAATCTGAAGAAACTCCTTTATTGCTAGTCCAGGATGACTGTTCAAAGATCAATATACTGACAATACACTGTGAGACCCTAGTCGACAATGACAATAAGTTTATCCTCATGTCGAGGAAACTACATTTAGTATAGACGTTACTGCAATAGTAGTGTATACGGCTAAAACGTGTTAATGTTTATTACAGGGTAGTAGGGCCAAGGACGAACGAACGTATAAGTAGCGTACATGCAGAATTTAGGAATATTCCCATGGCCAAGTCTTTGAAATCTATAAATTATTAAGATGATTATGATTGTCGTGGTTTACTTCCGTGTAATCGCACAAAAGCAATGGTAAATAGTTCAAGAGGATTTACTGCCGGTTGTTCTATTAGAGAAGTTAATTAATGTATTTACGCTAATCGTGGCATAATTAAGTACCCAGCACCCCGATTCTGGCCTTGAGACCTGGAAAGTGAGAAAAAAACCTACTATTTCTACACTAAAACCCCTCTAAGGCGAGCGAGTTTGCTTTTATCTTTACTTAATATCTTAAATTTCATATACCAACTTAGTTTATAGCGTAAACTGCCGAGACATACCAGAGTCTGTAAAAATGGTAGTTTCTACTCCTGCTTAACGCTCGGCAATTTAGGACTGAGACGACTGGTTCGCCCATTGTCAGTATAATGTGACCGGATGGGGTGTCCTGCTGGGGGTCTTTGGCAGTATGTTTCAGTGAGGGAGCACTATAAAGTCGGCATCAGTTCCGCGCTATCACAAGGAGACAAACACGAACATATCGCAACCTCCCAAAACACACACGCATACACTACACGCAAGCATCTTGCACAAATGGGAGGCCGTCCTAAAATGACCATAGCTGTTGATAGGACGCTAAACAATACTAAACCAAACCAAACCAAACCAAGCAAGAGGGCTAGAAAAAATGAGATGGCTGAAAGTAGCGAATCATTGTATAGAGAATCTCGCTAACGTGGTGACTGTGGTTGTTTTTCCACAATTCATACCCCTTTAAGAAGTGATGGTTTCCGAATGTAACCTTCACTTGACAACAGCATGAGAGAATACAGAACACATAATTAAATGCGCTAGAGTGAAAGTGGACACTCGATGTCCTAGCAACAATCTATTGGTTTTAGGCGAGCGTGAAGAGCTCTATAGGACATAAGTATTCAGCTGATCTGATACGTGACAACAGCTTGGTCATCACTTAGCAACAACTGATGTGATATATAATGTCTATCATAATAACACTATCAATATGTGTAAAGTTACCTGTACGTCATCAGCCACTGAGAATACAGATCCGTTTCTATGGTAACGAAAAATTGATAGATTCCATTATAAATGTTCTGGTAATAGGTTGTCGGTCTATGTAGTTGGTGCAGGGTGTTCAGTTCTTGCTATAGTGTATCCTGTTCCGGTAATGGCGGCTCAGTGTTAGTAATAGCGTGTCGGCACCACAAAGCTGACTATGTCTGTCTTCATTCATAGTATATAACTATACAGTAGGTCTGGTCCAGTTCCCATTTGTATTCGCCTCACCACACTTGAACATCGCAACCAAACTACATGCTGGTATTATTCGCTTAGAACAATGCCGTTTACCCCCGGACCGACAAAGGAGGTCCCGCCCCAGTCAGTTCCGTGCGCTTCACAGATTCTCAACGTCGAGAGTATATAGTCTCGTATATTATTTGTTGTAACTATTTAATGTAAATACACGATAGATTTTGATGAGTTTATCTTTTATTTCATGTATGTTATTTGTATTTGAGCTCTTTAAAAGTTCGATATATACATTAATATCAAATGTATAACACCCTTTTCAACACTACTGTATATGAATATTTGCACTTGGAAAGTAAATATCTATATAATTCTTATCGTGAATAGGTAACATTGTTATGTTTTTGTTGTCGTCGATCATTGTTAGTCCCAGCCATACCATGGCTACATAATAGACGGCGCTACTTACTCTGCCAATAAATGGCCTTGCTCCGTTGACTTTACATAGTGCTTTTGTAAGTAAACGTATCAAACCATTGTCGGAATGTGTCACTTATTTGATACGCAAGTGATTTCCTTTAAATGAGAAGGTATAGATATCATAAAATGTAACCGTAGGTTAATTATACTGTGCCTTAGAAAAGCAAAAGTCCAGTACTAATGAATATCTTACTCGCCACTTGTAGCTCGTTTACTGTAAAACATTTCTACTTGGTGGTGTATATATTTTACGTTGATTCATGACGGTAGTAGACCACAGTAAATTGAGAGGAATTTCGATGCTTACTAACTAAAGTTATGTAAACACTTAGTCTCGTTAATCTGCCTACCATTTATCCAGTTGTCCCAACCCTACGTACTAATACTACTGGATACAACTAGACACTACGTACTAAAACTACTGGATACAACCAGACACTACGTACTAATACTACTGGATACAACTAGACACTACGTACTAATACTACTGGATACAACTAGACACTACGTACAAATACAACTGGATACAACTACACACTACGTACTAATACTACTGGATACAACTAGACACTACGTACAAATACTACTGGATACAACTAGACACTACGTACTAATACTACTGGATACAACTAAACACTCTACCTATAATGACGGATACAACTCAATTATACTTCTTGCTAACATGTACTTATATATATAGAATTCGTCAGGTTAGTTGTGTGGACTTGAGGATTAATCATTTGTGTGTATTACAATATCGTTATAATTTTTGTCAATATTTACACACTAAGCGCCGTTCACGTGATAAATATTAGCACAGCGGTATGAATTATCGTTAGTTTCGATAATTCGTAATAACGTCCTATGCAAACACATCCCTAGTGGAGGCATGTTTTCAGTAGGGCTATACGTGTACTCGCTTAACAGTGGCTGCATACGTTAGATATGGATAAAGTGACATGAGTTAAAGTGTTTTGATAGGCATTACTTTTAAATTAAAGCTTTACAAGAAAGAAATTAACTTTTGGAATCGGGGCCATAGATATTTCTTACTCTGTAGATAGAACATGTCCAAGTTGATAAATAAACATAGTAATTCCGGAATGTATATCTCAATATAAGAAAGATGCTCAAAAACACGAAAATCGCGATTCCAATTATTATCAAATTTCTTATTCACACAGTGTACGACTGGCAATAATCCACTCTGTTTGACCACCTAGTCCACTAATGGGGCGGTTATGGTATCTATATAGAAATATAGTATCCACCTAGGCATAGTACCCGCCCAGGACTACAGTACCTACCAAGGACAATAATACCCACCCTGGACTACAGTACCTGCCTAGGATAGTAGTACCCGCCCAGGACTACACTACCTACCAAGGAAAATAATACCCGCCCTGGACTACAGTACCTGCCTATTGGACAATAGTACCCACACTGGACTATAGTACCTACCAAGGACAAAAATACCCGCCCTGGACTACAGTACCTGCCTAGGACAGTAGTACCCGCCCAGGACTACAGTACCTACCAAGGACAATAATACCCGCCCTGGACTACAGTACCTACCAAGGACAATAATACCCGCCCTGAACTACAGTACCCGCTTGACAATAGTACCCACACTGGACTACAGTACCTGCCTAGGACAATAGTACCCACACTGGACTACAGTACCTGCCTAGGACAATAATACCCACACTTGACTATAGTACCTGGCTATAGGACAATAATACCTACACTGGACTATAGTACTCATCTAGGACAATAATACCCACACTGGACTATAGTATCTGTCCATAGGACAATACTACCCACACTGGACTATAGTACCTGTCTATAGGACAATACTACCCACACTGGACTATAGTACCTGCCTCGGACAATAATACCCACACTGGACTATAGTACCCATCTAGGACAATAGTACCCACACTGGACTATAGTACCTGTCTATAGGACAATACAACCCACACTGGACTATAGTACCTGCCTAGGACAATAATACCCACACTGGACTACAGTACCTGCCTAGGACACTAATACCCACACTGGACAATAGTACCTGTCTATAAGTCAAATAATACCCACACTGGACCATAGTACCCATCTAGGACTATGTAATATAGTACCTGTCTATAGGACAAAACAACCCACACTGGACTATAATACCTGTCTATAGGACAATAATACCCACACTGGACTATAGTACCCATCTAGGACAATAATATCCGCCCAGGACTACAGTACCTGCCTAGGACAATAATACCCACACTGGACTATAGTACCTGTCTATAGGACAATAATACCCACACTGGACTATAGTACCCATCTAGGACAATAATACCCACACTGGACAATAGTACCTGTCTATAAGTCAAATAATACCCACACTGAACTATAGTACCTGCCTATAGGACAATAATACCCACACTGGACTATAGTACCCATCTAGGACAATAATACCCACACTGGACTATAGTACCCATCTAGGACAATAATACCCACACTGGACAATAGTACCTGTCTATAGGACAATACAACCCACACTGGACTACAGTACCCATCTAGGACAATAATACCCACCCTGGACTATAGTACCCATCTAGGACAATAATACCCACACTGGACTACAGTACCTGTCTATAGGACAATAATACCCACCCTGGACTATAGTACCCATCTAGGACTATGTAATGACTATAATATAGAACCCACAAACAAGCACAGTACCCGCCCAGGACTACAGTAAATGCCAAGGACCGCCCAGGACTACAGTACCTGTCTATAGGACAATAGTACCCGCCCAGGACTACAGTACCTGCCTAGGACCGCCCAGGACTATAGTACCTGTCTATAGGACAATAGTACCTGCCTAGGACCGCCCAGAACTACAGTACCTGCCTAGGACCGCCAAGGACAATAGTACCTGTCTATAGGACAATAGTTCCCGCACAGGACTACAGTACCTGTCTATAGGACAATAATACCCACACTGGACTACAGTACCCATCTAGGACAATAATACCCACAATGGACTATAGTACCTGTCTGTAGGATAATAGTACCCACACAGGACTATAGTACCTGTCTAAAGGACAATAATACCCACACGGGACTACAGTACCTGCCTAGGACAATAATTCCCGCACTGGACTATAGTACCTGACTATAGGATAATAGTCCCCACACTGGACTATAGTAGGACAATAGTACCCACAATGGACTATAGTACCTGTATATAGGACAATAGTACCCACACTGGACTCTAGTACCTGTATATAGGACAATAGTACCCACACTGGACATAGTACCTGTGTATAGGACAATAGTTCCCGCACAGGACTACAGTACCTGTCTAGGACAATAATACCTACACTGCACTATAGTACCTGTCTATATGACAATAGTACCCACTCTGGACTATAGTACCTGACTATAGGATAATAGTACCCCCACTGGACTATAGTACCTGTATATAGGACAGTAGTACCCACACTGGACTATCGTACCTGTCTATAGGACAATAGTACCCACACTGGACTATAGTACCTGTATATAGGACAATAGTACCCACACTGGACTACAGTACCTGTCTATAGGACAATAATACCCACACTGGACTATAGTACCCATCTAGGACTATGTAATGACTATAATATAGCACCCACAAACAAGCAAAGTACCCGCCCAGGACTACAGTACCTGCCTAGGACTACAGTACCTGCCTATAGGACAATAATACCCACACTGGACTTTAGGACCCATCTAGTTTTAATTTGTGTGTGCTTTATGTCCTATTAACAGCTATGGTCATTTAAGAACGTGCCATGTTTAGGTGGTGGAGGAATGCCGGAGTTCCCGAAGAAAAACCAGCGACCTACGGTCAGTACATGGCGACTGCTCCACGTAGGTCTCGAACCCGCGACCCAGTGGTGGAGGGCTAGTGAGGTAGCAGAATGTCAGACGCTTGAACCACTTGGCCACCGCGGTCCCACCCATCTAGGACTATACAATGACTTTCTATAACATATAACCAGAGACGTATAATACATGTATTATACGTCTCTGATATAACCCACATAGCAGCATAGTACCCGACTACAGTACCTACCTAGATCTCTACTATCTACACTGGACTATGGTACCCATCTATAGACCATATACCGACTATACTATAGAAGGAAATTTAAAGTACCCGCCAAGGACTATTGTATCTACCTATGACTAAACTATCAACTAGAAGCATACCTACATTATAGTACCTCTCTAAGAGTACTCGTACATTCCCCTTCAGACAAACAGAAGTACCCTGCTGTATCACCGGCGACGTACTATTCTATTTGTTTTGTCTCGTTATCATCCTTACAGTGTGTCTTATATCAACTGCGTGTGAGTTTATGTATACTGTCTGGAAGCAGTGTAGAAATTCATAGCCGAGTGATTAATCAATGAAATATTTTACATTTCCCTTTTCTTTGTGTTTCAATATAGTCCATGAGTTCGTCATAGGGACGTTATGCGCCCACATAGCTGCATTACTGGGACAATACACGAGCATCCACATCATATATTGATACATAGAGAAGTTAAATATAAAGACCTCTGCCCCGGCCTCAAACCCCACCCCGTCATCCCCCGGCCTTAAATGTGTACAGTTCGTCATGATAAGTTGCTTACACTTCATTCAATACTTACTCGAGATGGTATATCCATTTTACACGTCTAGGTCGGATACTTTAGGTTTGGGCACAGTTGATGATAAGCCAGCATCATACTCATCCATGCTTTGATGTAGTGGCCCGATTAACAAGTTGCATCAATGTCGACAAACACTCAACCACCGTTTTAGGACAACCAAATATGTATTCAGTGTTTCAGTCCTTGGGCTTAACTTATAATGACTCGGGACACCGTCTATTTCATGTTACCGTAATTCGGTGCTGTTTGAGTGCCTAGGGTATGTGTAAATATGTATGTACTGATCGATCTCCAGGCTGTCCGTTTCTCGCTGTCTTAGCTGGGGTATTACAGTGTTCGCCGTTAATCACCGGCATAGCGTCGTTGACGGGGATACGCCACAGTGGCAGGGATGAAAGTCAATCTAAAACATATTTAAGATAGTTTGCAGGTATCGTAATTAATTTGTTTAAAATTAATGTGAAAATACTGTTGAAATTCCTTAATGCTTTAGAAACGTCGGGACAATGATAAATTTGCTTTTAGACATGAGTTTGTTAGATAGCACGTGAATCGAAAACTAGACATGTATAGTGGTGGAGTCGTTCGTTATAACGTGAACATTGTCTTTGAGTCGAACGGTATACTATATAAACCGAAAACTTGACTCACACAGAAATGTATGTAGTAAGAGATTGAGTCAGTACCACGTGAACCAAAAGACTCCATATGACGTGAACCAAAGCAATTGAGTCGGCCTGTAGTACTATAGTAATGGCCTCCAGAAAACCCCCGACTCCTTACCCTAGTGTAGACATCCCGGTCTCCAGATAACTCCTGACCCCTTACCCTAGTGTAGACTGCCCGGCCTCCAGACAACCCCTGACCCCTTACCCTAGTGTAGACTGCCCGGCCTCCAGACAACCCCTGACCCCTTACCCTAGCGTAGACTGCCCGGCCTCCAGACAATCCCTGACTCCTTAATTAGTGTCGACTGTCAAGCTTTCGGACAGCCCATGACTCCGAACCCTAGTGACGACTGCAAGGACTCTGGACAACCTCCGACTTGATCCTTTTCGTCGACTGTCCAGCCTCCTGACAACCCCTGACGTTTAACCATTGTGTCGACCCTGACAACCCCTGACGTTTAACCATTGTGTCGACTGTCCAGCCTCCTGACAACCCCTGACGTTTAACCATTGTGTCGACTACCCTGGTTCTAGATAACCCCTGACGCCTATGACGACTGCCCTAGCTCCAGACTCCTAACCCTAGTGTTGACTGAAAATGTGAATATCGGAATTATTTTGATGTGCTTGTTGTTATTAAATATGGATTATCGCTATTAAAAATTATAGAAATTATGAAAATGTTCTAAAGATTGCAAATAATGGCAATTGTATCAGATAAATGCACGAGTAATTATAAAACAAAAAATCACACTCACTGCGAGCCGGAAGTAGAACTCACCTGTAATTGGTGTTTACGTAGTCGATTTGTTTCATGTAAATGCTATGCGACCTATTATGATGTAGACTGAATCAATGCATAGAAATAGCATGGCCCCGGTACAGCTTGCAATCCATCACAAAAAAAACTTGAAAATGCCAAAATCCAGCCGGGTATAATCTTGGATGGTAATACGCAATGCAATATATACTTCTTACATCAAAACCTATTTTGTCACGTGCGTTATACCAGAGTATAAGTATATCTATAGACAGTGACAGTTTAGTTACTGTAAACGTAGAATTTTTCGTGGTGTGGAAACGCTTGTTTTTTCCCCTTGAGTAAATAAGCGCAAAATTATCAACATGCCAATGTTTATTTATCGATTATTTAAATCATAGATATATAGTACATATAGATTTAAGAACCATTTCAATACACGAGAATTTCTACGTCAACAGTACACCTAGCCAATTGTTATAGCCATATTAAGTAAATGTACTTGTGTTTCTATGATTGAACACGATCATTAAAGAATCGAAAACACTAGTTCATTCGTAATACTTCACGCCCAGACGAGGTCTGTGTACTTTAATTTGATATCGGTGTGTGTAATCTCACCTCTGACTTGTAAATGAACTCGATGAAGAACGGGTCTTGTGTTCACAAAAATATTTGACCTGGGAAGAACTCTCACTGCTCCGTTACCCGAGCACGCGACACACCGGGGTACCACAAAGTGTCTGATGTTAGGTGAGTTTGGATCCTGATTGATGTGTATATCAAACGACACATTTGACGAGGACATTTCTACAATTGCCAAGTTACCATCAGAACGAAACATTAAGCGAATTAGCATATTCAACAAAAGAAGCCGCTCTTGTCTATTAATTTTCCTTTTCAATTTAAATCCCAGACACAATGGAATTCAAATAAAACTCGATCAGGTTGGAAAACTGGATTCCCTTTCATTTACTTAGCGATAACAATAGGTTTTGTTTAAATAAAAACCAAAGAGGAGCGATTCTTCTGGCAATTATACGTATCTAAGACATTGCGAGGGTCTCCTGATATCTGAAATTAAACAGTGGGGAATGAATTTCGGCGAACACGAAACTATGTGTGATTTAGGCCGATAACAATTGGTGTATACCTGTATTAGTTGACCAGGTGAGAACAGAGAATGGTTTATCCGAGTCTTGATTGGGGCATATATCTCATTACACAGACCCACTGTTGGAGGGAAATAGAACTTCTAAAACTTTTAGTGACTAAAAACGACCACATCACTGCGGCCAGGCAAATCGCTAAGAAACTGTTGATCTACACAGTAGTTTGGCGATATTTAAACTTACACTGATTGATGTTACAGGTGGGTGCTGAAAACCCCATTCGATGTTTGGGAAGTTAAGTGATAATTCTCGCTTGCTTTAGAACCAGGAATAGCAGAATACGGAGCGAAAACGTCTTTATGGAAAAACAGTAGCGAACAGGTAGGTATGATAGATTATTTTCTGTAGATACCTAATATGTCATTCTGACTTGTTGATCAACTTACAAGTTACCTTGGTTTCATCATCATATGTAAGATACCATGTATCGTACAAGAAAATCTTAGAACCTGTCCAACACCAGAACATATTAATAATCAATTGAATAAATGAAATATAAAAAATACATTTAGAATATCAAAATTTTGTCCCCTATAGGTTTTCGAGGAACGATTTCAAGATGGATCCCGTATTTGGACTTCCGGTTGTAAAAGAATCACGGGCAATGGAAAGTGCAAGGAACCGGAATAGGACACAACAGCGCCGCCTAGGTTCTCAGTTAACGAAGTTACACTACAAATTAGAGTGTAGTACGTCACGCATTTTACAGCATAAAAACATTGCACGGGATCTCTGGAATACCATTCAACCTCCCACTCCAAACAAAAATGTCGTCTGCCCATCTGGTCTCACTAACCAGGAAAAGTCGGTTTACAAACACATGCGGAAGTCTGGTCCTCTCAGTATGTCGCTCGAAGAGTTTGATAAAAAGATGGAGGAGTTAAAATATATAAGTGCACAGAGCAGGCAAACGGATAAAGTTGAAAATCCGCCAAAGAGGAGGCGTAGGAATAGTGAGGTGGTAACCGGGAGTACAAGGCGTGGTAGTATCGTACCGGATGAGGATCAGATTCGCTCCCCACTCCTCAACAGGAAACATAAGATGAAGGAGGCCCTGGGACGCTTGGAGACGTCCGATGTTCGTGTCAAGGACCAGAACATAACTGATCAGTACAAATCAACCTCGCGCAGGCACAGTTCTATACTTCCGTCCCTCCCAGGCGGAAGTAGAAACGGTGCTTCCGATACAAACAGGAATCATTCCAGTACCTCTTTTCAACGGAGACGAAGCTCCGTAGCTGTGGTTTCTTTGGAAACTCCTCGAAATGAACGGTTAGTAAGCTCGTCATCAGACGAAGGAAAACAAACCATGGAAGATGTGAAAACTCTCATGGGACAATTGGCGATAAATTTGACGTGAACGTTTTTGTGAGATCAACTGACACATATTTACCGAATATATAATGGCAAACCGTCTGCATATGTCTTTACGAACGGTCCAATGTATTTTGCATCGGTTATAAAATGTTAAGACATCGCTATCAATATTAACAGAATATGGAAGTAAATTAACGCTGACATCCCACTTGGTACATTACAGATTGAGTGTTAATAGGTCTTTAATTCGAAATCTCTCAAATGGTTCTTAGCATTCATGTACACGATCGTATCAGGTTGTGTGTGTTATAAGTCGGTGCTTCTTAACATACATATACACGATCGTATCTGTTTTCGTATGTCATAAGTCGGTGGTACTTAACATATATGTCCACGATCGTATCAAGCTGTGTGTGTTATAAGTCGGTAGTCCTTATAAACTTAACATATATGTAAACGATCGTATCTGATTTTGTATGCCTAAGTCAGTGGTTCTTAACACATATGTAAACGATGTATCTGATTTTGTATGTCATCAGTCTGTGGTACTTAACATATATGTACACAATCGTATCTGGCTGTGTATGTCATCAGTCGGTGGTATGATTTTGTATGCCCAAGTCAGTGGTTCTTAACATAATATGTAAACGATCGTATCTGATTTCGTATGTCATAAGTCGGTGGTTCTTTACATACATGGATACTATCGTACTTAGTTGTGTATGTAATAAGCCTGTAGTTCTTCACTTATCTGTAGGTGGTTGTACCCGGTGGTGTACGTCATATGTCGGTGGTTCTTAATAAAAATGTACTCGATATCTGGTTGTGTGTGTCATATTAAATCGGTGTTTCTTAACATGCATGCACGCGATCGTGTCTGGCTGTCTATGTCAAAGTCTTTTGTTCTAAACATTATGCAACCCTGGAATATATCATGACAAAATCGAAAACTTAGTGTGCGCCACCTTTTGGATGAGACAAGAAGACTAGTTTGATCCTTTGATGTACATCAAAAGAATCTCGCGGTCGCGTAACGGTGAAACTGATTTGCGCTTTGAAGTCGGGTGTCGCTCCTCTCTAATCTTCAAAGGACATGTATCGGCCTAGCGATTGGTCAGGTTTTTTTTTAACCCAGGCCAATCAAATAGATAGCCTTAAATTTTGCTATGACATATCCCAGGGTTGTAGAGAAGGTAAGTATGACACGAACTAGCTCACGATTTTCGTTTCACAATTAACAACACGGTGACGTACACGTACTAGTATTAACTACTATGAACTGAATAGTAAGAAACATGAAGACACATGGGCTGATTGTCGCTGAGTTGCAGGGTTTAAAAGTGGTCACTGTGATTTATTATATAATGACGTCTTCTCCAAAACCACTGGGCATTTGTCAACCAAATTATAGTGACTGCACCCTTGAACATTGGTGACCAAAGGTTTTACAAATTGGTTTGGAAGCATCTTTATCCAATGGGCTTCAACAGTTATACGAAAAATGTGCTAACCCACATTGGGGCGGAGGGACTGGGTCAAAAGGGATCAAATTGACCGATTTGTATAAAATACAATACAATCATTTCATGTCAATGTCACATGTCGTAAATATCGCATTGCAACAATATATTATAGATAATATTTATTTTTTTCATTTATTAGATCATAAAATATTGACATTCAGCCATGCTTAGATAACGGGACACTAAGTATCTATAATAAATAAAATAAGTGGGTATATAAAACCCTCTGATACAGTTCAGCTATGTTTGGATCTAAACTGATATGTTCAGGGTAGGCATTTAAGGGGTTTTATTTTATTTAGATATATTTTATTGCCAAAAGTACAGCAAATGGATCGAGAAGAAATTTATTTAAACGCTATTTACGCCCTCTCCAATTGAAATTAACAAATAAATTGACAAATACACAAAAACTTATTCAAGTTTCCCCGATACCATTATTATTTTGGTGGCATTTTTACTGAAGGTTGATCTAAACCCAAAAAACGTCTATGTCCAAACGTAGCTAATGCTCACGTCCCTGTGATCAGATTCTTATGGGGTGAAAGGGAGACAACACTATCGCAGAGTCTTCAATTATCGTACTATAAAGTTTACGAGAATCAATTAAAAACACTTGACTGTCAGCTGGATTTTTAAGGCAAATAAATATGGAAAAAAATGTCCATGGAAACAACTTATCATAATTATGAAGGTTTTGTATTTTATCGATAACATGATATATCAAAGCAAAACATGAAAAAAACGTAAAAACTACCAAATAAGCTTCAGTTTGCTGAATCAAGGCTCGCAGTATAACCATTTGAATCCAAATATGAACAAAGGTTTTTATTTAAAATCACCACTTTACAACCATTTTTTAAATTAATATTTTGGCTTTCACAAAGACATTGAGTTGGCAGGAGTTTAGCCTGAATTGGCGTATTGTGTTCCGTGTAACTTACTTGAAATAGAACCACAATATATATTTCAATGACTTGATGTAGTCAAAAGCTTTTAGCGACAAAAATCGGAAAGATTTAACAGCTGTTACAAGGACAATCGAAAACTATATACTGCAATGTTAACACACATCGACAGTAACTAAAGCCAACAACCGGAATTAAGAAAAGATAATTACAAATGAAGTAAAGACATTCATATCGGCAGCTGATTTGTGTTATTTCGTTTCGTCTTTTAGCCGCGAAAAGACAGAAAGTGTGAAAAGACGCGAATTAACGAACAAAATGGCATAAATCAGCCATCTTACAATCAGGAACTTTCGGCATTTTCCGTTTACGAGGCGGAAAGTACCGACAGTTACCGATCTAGTTGCAAGAATAAGTGTTAAACAACAACAAAGGAAAGTCAACCACAGGAATCAACGATAACATGAACAAAGGCGACACCAAAAAAGAAGGGAAAGACAACTACATTAATAAAAGAGACACTAGAAACGGAAAGACAATAATTTAACAAGATCGAAAGATACATTAGAACAAAAGACTTGTGTATGTGTACAAGGGAAATTTAACCTTCACCAACGATCTGAGAAACGGTGAACACACTTTGATTCATAACAGAGTGACATACACCGACTCCCTAGCGTAGATTGTAGCACCTCCGGTAGAAATCTCTGGCTTCAATTATTTGGCAGAAGGGCTATTACATTACTAAACAATCCTTATACCAAAGCCACTTTTTAACATATATGATGTATGCAACACAAAACTTCCGTTCAAACATATTAGCGCGTAAAGAAAACGTTTGAACAGAAAATTGTTGTAGCCATCATAACGTTTGAAAACAATGCATTTCAACCCTTATTCAAATTTAAACATATACGTGTCATCACTAATAAATTTTCATTCAAGTCTTCCATTTGTCTTTTGAAGCTTAATTTTGCAGACAAATGTCTTACGTAATTATTATCATAAACTTGCCTTGTAGGCCTATACGTCGAGATCGTTAACTCGTTCAGACATGAATTGGAAACCAAACTACAATCTGTATGTATGCTGTTGGGGACTATACCGGAAAAAAGGGAAGAAATGGGGAGGCCTTCAGTTTAGTAGATAAATCATTGGGCACCTCTAGATCTGATTTACATCTCTGTTTAAAATAACACAAGCACGTGTTTTCAGTGCGATAGCAGTGCAAAGTATGTGTGTTAAACCAGTTTTCTAATTGCAGTAATAGTAACCTTGACCTTGAGCTCCATATCTAAATAGCAATCGCAAACAATCAATTTTGTAAGTGAAACAATGCAGGTAGTTCCAACAGAAACTTGGGTCATTGCAAGAAAATTCAATTTCTATTTATAGTACCAATAATGACCCTTCAGACCTGAAAATAATTCCAATGCACGCACATTCCATCAGGAAGAAATGACCTTTGCCTTTGACAAACGGACCTTAACAGCAACCCCGAGTGAGTATATGGAGTTTAAGTTTTGTCGGCCTGTAATGATGAAAACTGACCCCTTTGGAAATGAAACCGGGGTAAGTTTTCAACGTTAAAATTGGAACCGGGATCCGTGAAAAATGACTGTCCCGTGATAAACGGAACCCTATCAGATTCCTAGTAACATTTGCTCACCTTGTCAGAAGAGCCTAAGTGATCTCATGTCGTACCCTGGCGTCCATCGTCAAACTAAATCAGGTCACTGTGACCTACTCAATGTTTGACCTACACTAATTAAAATTATCACGGGATTCAGAAATAATCACCGAATTCTGTTTTACATAATTAGATCACTATGACCTACTTTTAAAAATTGACCTAGAGTCTACATTGTTACGAAATGAACTTTAAACTGTTTTTTCGAATTAGATCACATTGACCTTATTTTGTCTAACTACTGTTGAATGCTAATTTCTGAGTCGTCTGATCATTTTTTATAATGTCGGTAATATCTTGAAAACTAGGTCACAGTGATCCATTTTTGTCACACAACAGTTAAAATTGATGTTAAGTTCTGAAGCCGATGACGTTTTTTATAATGTAAGTCAACTTTGAAAATTAGGTCACAGTGATTTAATTAGGTCAAGCATCCACTGGGTCCATGTTCGACGCTAACGTACGTAACACATGTAACATGCGGGTGCTCAAGTTTATTAATGTGCAGAAACCAATTTTCTATTTATTGTAAAAACGATTTTGATTTTTGACCTTCCGAACCCGAAAACTTTAAGGAAAGTGTCTTCTGTATTGAATATAGGTCAACGATATGTTACGTCCACAAAGCGAGAATTGGGTATTGACAACAAAACCACACTAAGGAGCATTATCAAGAACATCGACCTTCATATCACACAAAAAAATGCATTTTTCCCAATTAGATTATGATGATGACCATAAGACTTATTAATAGTCTTCATTAAGCTGCATCTTTAAAAAAAACTGTGTTTTAACTATGTCCGTCGGCAGTCTACATCTATGATATCAGGATGAAGTCATGAAGTTTTGAAGTTATGCTATTTGCAACAAACTCTTGAATACCGACCGAATCAGCAGCAGCATAGGAAAGTAAGAATGTTACTCTCAAGAAAGGGAAATATCACATTCGGAAAATCAAAATAGTCAACCTTATCGAAGCGTAGTTTTAAGAGGTCCATTTTGATTATGTTGTGTAAAGATTAAGGAAAATGACTGTGGTAGAGGGACATGTAGTATACTTAATGTCAAGCTTGGAGGGGGTTAAGATAAGTTCGACGCGTTCAATGAAATTCTTGTTATTTAAAGACAGCATAGCGTCGATGTATTTGGATGTTAAATTGAAGGACTTGCAATTGGCTAAGGTATTTGTTTTTGTCCTGATTGCTTATCAATAAATTTCGCTATGTATGAAAACCAAAACGGCCAGAGGAGGGGCACAGTTTCTTCCCATAGGAATGCCTACAGTCAGCTTACTGCCACCGGACTTAATATTCTCACAATTTCAACATTTGTTTTGTTATTTTAGCCTTTGTAGTGCTTTTCACAAAACTTGCTCTATATTTTTTTGGAAAAGAACCCTCTCATAATATAAAAAACGAGGGCGTTCTTTCTATTTATTATGAGGAACTGATGTGTAATGGTCGAAAAGTAAGAAAGCTTGATTGTTTAAGTATGATCGAATGTTTTTTTGAAAGCTTCAAATTCCATGATGCAATTGTTCCACTTACCGAGTATATAGAGTCACAATACAATTGTAACCTTGATCATACGGTACTAAGTTTGCATCATGTCTTGGTTGAGTAACAAGTTGAACTCACGATAAAACGTTATTTTTAAGGTTCTGGTGAAGTTTTATAATCCAACACAAACGAGGCAGAGGTCCGTATAATTGTAATAGAGAAGCGTGATTAGCTAGTATTTCGACTTTCGAACAATTGGAAAGTGAAAAGGTAGGCCGGTTACCTTGGCTATTCAAGCATGCTTAGTGCTAGCCTACCTCCAACTCACAGGGGACTGAAAAATTGTCACAGCTACATTTCGGTAAAAATGTCACCTCAATGATGATATAAATTATACGAGTCGTGCGGTGGCAATTTTACCGAAATTTGATCTAAACCCCTGAACACCTTAGACTATGTCCAAATATAGCTGTTGTTTATGAATGACGCCTTCAGCTAAAGCCTCGGAAGACAAGACAGTTTCACTGCGAGGGGGGTCCTCTGATTGGATTTCAGAACTTTAAATGTTTCGAATTGTTACCATAAACTTGTTCTATGTGGTAACACGGTTGTTTAATGTCAGCTTGAAAGTTGTATTGCACTTCTGTGTTACAGGGTCTTTTTGAAGGGGAAACACCCCCCCCCCCCCAAGATTTTCCCCATTTTGTACTAAACACTGATATACAAAACATCCTGGATATTATATAATCTTTTATTTTAGTGAAAACACATATTCAATTTTTCAATTTTATGAATTAACGCTGACTGAAATAGGGAGTAGGCCTACTCGAGCCTAAGGCCGCTACGTTACTGCATGGAGGCCATGCGGACAATCGAATATTGCGCGAAACGAATTTAGGTGGGGCGGGGGACGATCAGGTGAACAAAGGATACCACAATAAGGCATGTAAAACAGTATGAAAAAGAGAAAAAACGGTTGTAAAGTTACAGTACATTTGGATGGCAAACCCTTGAAATTAATTATCATGATCGCAATGTAACTTATCATGATCGGCCTTTTTTAAATATAAAGTTAATTGTTTCTCCCTAGTTATCACGCATTTGCTTGCATTATTCATAAATATAGCAAAAACATAGCTAGGAACTAGTACTATTCCGCTCACCTGTGCGCTCGCATCTTTGATATGTAATGGTGTTACCTCCCTTTAGGTGACGTCATCTATCAGCATTGCCAATGGCGTCACTGAGGAAACGAGGTAGGTGTAGAGACAGAGTTGTGCATTTTTCTCGCGAGATTATCTATTTAATTTAGGGAATTGGGTGACAGTGGCCGAATAAATGGCCCATCGGACGAATGTTGAGCGTTTGTCCGACTGTATTTATATGGGATTTCTTGCCAAACAAAGCCGAAATACATGCGCTGTCGCCGACACAATGAATCGCGGGATATGTGTGTATAGGCTGTTAATTTGCAGGGTGTCGAACCCACTCATTAGACAAACGTTAACTGTAACTTTAGCACACTTACAAGTAAACATTTTAAGTATTTACTCAGTTGGGTGATTTAGATATAAGATGTCGAATGGGAAGCAAGTGTTGGTGCCACTGACATTGTTTGCAGGATCGATTAGGACAGCCGGGCAGGCCGGGGTTGTGCGCAGACGGGGTTCAAACCTCGCTCTACATTATCACACACAGCAATATTTCAACCATTGCAAAATTTCAAATCATGGAGATTTTTTTTATGATAATTCTAACGTTTCAACTCCTATTTTTTAGCCTATATTAGTTTATAACTTGAAAACCTAATAACAAGATTCGAGCCTTCTGCACAGTGGTCGGTGTTTGGCTGCTAACCCGGCTATAAATAGAATTAACACAAGTGTGCACTATTGTGGGGCCATCCACGGGGGGTTTTCATGTCGGGCAAGAGTGAATGAATAATAAATAAAAAAAACGTATTTGCTTCGTTCTTTAAAGCAGGTGTGTCAACAATGATCAAGAAATGTTTATTATCCTTAATGTAATTTAATTCTGAATCAAAACTCGCCATATTAATAATATATATGAGCACAAAGTGGCAATGTACATTTACAATGTGAAATTAAATAACAAATTTATATAATTAGAGCAGAATAAAACAGTAGCCTGGTTCACATTGTGTAGCAACAATTTTACCTGGGCAGTCGGTTTGCATTCACTTCCTTGACTGTAGCTAGCTGACATACACTGATGCAGTCAACTATAGTCAATACCATCATTATTATATTATTAAATGACAATTTTACGTGAACAGTTATATTACTGTGCCCATCTATTTAAAGCACACACTATATATTCTGTGATACTGTTATGGTCTAAAATTTCAGTTATGTATCAAGAAAAACTTCTTACTTATTATGACTTTACATCTGCTGTAGGTATTGAATGACAATAACATGTTTTGCATCAGATGTACATATTTTCAACAAGAATAAAGAAAGAAATTCACAGAAAAATTACATATCAAGGACATCAAACTTTGTTGGGCATTTTCTGTAGAAAAGTGCCTCGCCGAACCAGATCTATTAAACCACATGACGGGTCAATGATTTTGCTAAGCAGAAGTTGATTTGTGGCATATAAAAATAATTAAAAAAAACTTTTTCTATTGTACTATAATAAAACAGTATTGATAAAAAAAGATGCAAAATAATGCAAATTTGCTTTCTTTCAATTCATTTTCTCCAATGTCTTCGCAGACATATACTTTGTGTACTAAGTTTTTACTTCCCCACGCAGAAACTAATAACGTCAACAAAGTTGCACAGAAGTACATAAAATGTTGGGGCCATAAACAGATCCACCATCATCATATTCACAAATCAATGTACTTTGTTACAATATACAAACAAGCAGCAGTTTCCTAGCCTGTGATGTGATAATCAAATATGCCATTTTGGCTGGGCCATAAAAAGGGAACTGGAAACTTGCTCTTTCTCTTTATTATCTCTCATATGGCAAGAATGAGTTAAATCCCTTGATTCAAAGCAAGGAAATGGATTTTTTTACTGCATTGTGATTATTTTGATACGCCCAACAAATTTGACGGAATTATTATGGTATGGAGTTGTCCGTTCGGCGTAAACTTGTGTTTGTCCGGCAATCTCCTACATTTTGCGACCGATCTTTTTGAAACTTGGTATACATTATAATCATGATATGAAGTTGTGTCTCCCTTAAAAGAATTTTGATTCGACAATTTTTCCAAAAGTAATTGCCCTTTGTTCATTTCAGTATTTGATTTTTGCTCGGCAATCTCCTCCTACATTTTTCAACGGATCTCTTTGAAACTTGGTATAAATTATAATCATCATATGAAGCTGTGTCTCCCTTAAAAGAATTTTGATTCAACGATTTTTGCAAAAGTTATCGTCTTTTGTTCATTTCAGTATTTGATTTTTTTGTCTGGAGATTTTCTTCTACACTTTTTATAGCATGTCAGCTTACCGCTCTTAGAATGATGCAGATCTTATTTCAATGTAAGAAAGTATATACTACTATATGGCATTTGGCGGGCGTATATTTTTCCGCCCCGCGGTACTCTTGTTGTATGTTTAAATTGGTGTGAAAACAAATCAGTCACTGGAGTATATTATTTCTTTTATTTTTATTGTTATAAGTAATATTATATGCATTTATATAGACTAGCTGTTTTTCTGAGACATACATATATATGCATAAGGGGGAAAATATGTCTTACAGACTAGAAACTAATACATTATGATTTGTAATTAGAAAAGTTCTTGATTACAAGATTTCCTTTATCATCTTTTATCAATTTCACTGCTGAAAAAGTAAAAGACTTATTTGTCATTTCAGGGTACTCATTTGCATTCATGCTGAATCAACAAAAAGAACCCAAGACACTTATGATTTAAGTTAGTAGTTTTCTGGTAAGTTAAATCATGTTATATTGGAAAGTCATTTACAACATTGTAGATGTAGAAGAATTGAAATTTTACCATTTTATTTAAATGTGTTTAAATGGAACAGAACAAAAGTCACAAATTAGGGGATATTTGTATTTGGACTGATCTCATTTTGATGAACTTTATATGGGGAATTTTGACTGAAGAAATGAACAGTCATGCTACCAGAAACAGCTCCTTGGTGCTGGCCCTGTCCCTGGTAGCTTAGTCCTTATGTCACAACTATCTCCCAATCCCTAGACAAGGCTGGAAAAAGTTGCCGAATCTATGATGAAGCATATACCAAACAATAGAATGGTTCAGAGTACTAGGAATCATTTAAACCAAATGTATAAAGCAATACTGTGTAAATATGAATAGTACTAATTACGCTGCAACATGAGGCCATAAAATAAGTTTGTTTCAGGTAGAATGCCTGAGAAAAATAGGGTAGGTCGTCGGTAGGCAAATAATATTATTTTTGTGAATTTATATTATGCTTTATTTCAAATTTTACAATGTATTTTCACATATTACAATGGCTATTGATTTGCTTAGAATAAGGTACAGACTCGTAGAACAGGGAGAAAGTACATTTCAATAAGTGGCTGTGAACTTCACCTGGCTAATAAATTAATCTTATATACAAGTAGGTGATAAAATATCTAGGGTCGGCAGTAAAATCTAGGGTAGGTCGGGCTACCTGAAACATACATATTAATTTTAGGTCACCTGAGCTTTAGCACAAGTGACCTATTGCTATTCGTCATCGAGCGTTGTCCGTTAATATAAAATTATTTTACATTTTCAACTTAAGCTGAATACTGTTGAAGGGATTTCATTCATACTTCATGGGAATGTTACTGACATCTCCCTGACAAAGTGTTTTTGTTTTTCGGGTCGATCAGAAATCTAATATGACCGCCACGGCCGCCATTTTGAAAAACAACTTATATATATATGTATATTCTAAACACCCAGAAATGAACAAAACAATTCTTCTGAAGCTAATACATGAATTGGTCCACTGCTTCTGAATCAAGTATTTTAAGCATAAAATGTACATCAAATGGTAACTAGCACTGTTAGAAACCCAGATACAGACTTAATGATTCGTCTTGTCATACATGATGGAATAATAAGGAAATCACAGAGGAGTAAAATGTACAGCAAAAATAAGAAAAAGTTCTGTTGAAACCAAAAGTATTGATGTTTTGTATTTTGTATTTTTCAGTTGATAGACATTGAAATCAACATGGCTGGACTTCAGATTAATAATGTGGTCAGCCTAAACGAGGGAACAAACCCTGACCAGATGACCATCAAACCTGAACCAGTTGATGAGGGGTATGATGCAGCTTTTGCAGGCACAACAGACGAATCGGCATCAGACACAGCAGCCGCAGTAACATACAATGGCAGCAAGAATGCCACTGACATCACCTTTCCCAGCGGAGAGTCGAGTAACAGGTTACGAGGAATACTGAGCAACATGCTGAGTGACACGAGCAAGGAACTGTCAGTCAAAACTGTAATCGAGGACCTGCTACAGAAAAATGAATATCTTCTTGCACAGAACAATGCTGGATTGTACAAACCCCAAGCAAGGAACATGTCCTGCAAAAAGGACACGTATTGTGATAGTCCCAGGAGTGAGTCACAGACTTCTTCAGCCTCTGTTTATAACATAAACAATGCTTCACCTGCTCCAAAACCTGCCCAAGGAGCAATCCTACGTCCTGGTAGTCCCACGCTTACTTGTCCCCAGCCAAAGAAAGACAATACACTGTTGTCTTTGTTGGAGCTGGGAGTACTGGACACCCAGACGGAGCAAACCTTAAGTAATACCACACAGGAGGTTGTCTGCGGTGTTGCCTCCAAGGCCTTCATCATGACACAGGAAGGAGTAAACATCCAGACAGATCTACAATTTTACTGGTGCAATTTCTGTCCATTTAAAACCGACTCTAAACAGAACCTGCTGGGTCATGTAATGGAACACAGATTTCATTGCAAGACATGTGATTACCAATCATTTTCACGAGCTGACGTTATCAGGCATGCCGTCCAAGAACATTCAGATTTTTATGAAACTGCAAAAACCTTGAAATTTTGCTCCTTCTTACTAGATTTCGAAGAGAAGACTGACCATTCTACTAAAAAATCCTCTAAACGGAAAGTGGATGAAGGAAACAAGGCTGCTGTAAAGAAAGCTAAAGTGGATAGTGACAGAGAATCAACAGGCATTACAAAAAAGACGTCAGAAGTTAAGGAGAAAACATCAGAAGTTAAGGAAAAAACGAAAAAATCACAAAAGAAAGATGATGAATATGAGTGCTTTGAAATGGAGGTAGATGAAGTTGATGATGACAATGATAATTATGAAAGTGAAGATGAGGAAGAAGAGGAAGAAAATGAGGAGAGATCAACAGAAACCATCATAACTCCGAGCTCTAAGAAAGAAATTTCCAAAGCATTGCCCATTTCTGTTCCAACCTTGTTGAAGCAACCACAGCTGACATCTGTCAAGATACCAACACCACCATCTTCCAATTCTAATATTTCAGCAACATTATCAACCAAAGCTTCCTCGCCTCTGTCTTCAAAGGCAGGTAACACTGTAACCGTATCCTCTGGCCTGTGCTGGAACTGTGGCTACTGTGAGTTTGTCACTTTGAGTCAAACCTTTCTCAAAACCCATCTTAACAGTCAACACACTGGCAAGGCACATAAGTATGTTGCCATGCTTGTGTCGTCGCAGGAGGAAATGAACCGCATTAAGGAAAAGGATTCGACAATGTATCAAAGTCCAAATACAGCAGTGTATGGTAACCTTGGCAATCAATCATCATCCTCATCATTTACACCTTCCACCCCCACTTCTATCCCACCAGCATCCATGGCTACTCCTGGAACAGATAGTGCCGGCATTCCAGAACGCGAGAATGCAGAGTATGAGGACAGTGAAAGTGATGAGGATTTCATTCCAGCAGAGCAGAAGAAGAAATATCCACTTACCTACAAATGTGCACACTGCAATTTCAATGCTCCTGTCTGTTTCAAGATCAAAGAGCATCTACAAATCAAACATGTAGGTTGCGTGTTGTATAGTTTGGACATGCGTGCTGTGAAGCTGAAGCAGCGTCGTTATGTGTTCTTTTGTCATCGCAAAAACTGTTCCTTCACCACCAAGAAAACTGAAGAATACCTGAACCACTCTGAGAGCTGCACTCCTTGGCTGGAAAATGGATGCCCAGAGAAAGTCGATGCCCCTGCCAAAAAATGTTTGGAACTCACAAGATCTTTTTCGTCAAAGATTTCTCAAAAAGCTTTCCAAATGGCTAAGAACTTTAAGTCATCCAAGAGTGCTGAATATGCTTGTGTTCACTGTTCCTATACCTCCAACAACAATACCCGTGTGAAAAAACATGTTTTGTCTAACCACAAAGACAGTGACACTTTAATGAAGGATCTGCAGGCACACCGCATGAAGAAAAAAATGTACGTGTACTTCTGTAAGTACTGTCTATGGGAGACCAGGAATGACGGGGAGCTTACTGACCACTTAAAAGACAAGCACAATGATTCCAGTGTTGTTAATCCTGCTCCATATGCATCTGAGGACGAACCTCCTATGATGATGGAGATGCCGGCCACCTCCTCACTTGTTGTAAACTCACCGACTGTAAGCATTGAAATGGATGAGTCACCTCCTACAACAACACCAGAAGAATCCGCTAACAATTCTGATGCCGGTGAATATGATGATAACTTTGATGACCTTGAAGTGCCACAGGATGTGATTCAGTCTTTAATGGATGAGTACGTTACTCACGAGGCTTCTCATGGAATGTCACCAGGTAGACCGACGCGTAATGCAGCAGCTAAGGCACAAGTTCGATGTCGTGCTCAAGGTCAGTCTCCTCAGCTGTTCCGTTGTATACACTGCCCGCACATGTGCTTTGGAGTGAATCTAGTGAAGAAACATATGAAGGCAAGACACAGTAGTGAACCATTGCGTTCGATGGATCTTAAAAAGAAGATAGCACGATCGTATGCTTATTACTGTTTCTGCCCTAAAGAAGGATGCACATTCTCACATACCTCTGAAGAGTCTGTTATTAAACATGCGTGTAATGACCATGGATTTTCTCCAGAGAATGAGGAACTACAACAACTTAACCAGCCCACGATCAGAGGAGGAGGAAGTGGTGGTGGTCCGGTACGTCACGATGTTCAGTATGAATGTCTGTATTGTAATACTAACGGAACTAGTGCTATCAAGACAAGTATGGAGAAGATGAGGAGGCACATCCTGGAGGACCATGGTGGAGAGGAGGTCATTTTCCGAGACTGTGTTGCAAGGAAGTTACGCAAGACTTCGCGTATCTTTATGTGTGCCCACCTAACATGTGGCTACAACACCACTGACCAGAAAGAGTACACCTTGCACCGCCTGGCACATGAGAAGTCCCATATTTATGAATGTGCTAAGTGCCAGTGGTTCACAGCCAACCCAGACACTGTGGCTTCACACATGTCAGCCATGCACACTGGGTCCCAGGTCACGACCATGGAGATCTTTCTTGATTTGGATGAGAAAGGAAATGTCGTCAAAAAAGTTGGTGGTACGGTCATAAAACAAGAACCAGAGTGAAGAGAGATAGAACTGTATTTGCAATACTAAACAAAATGTGTAATCTTTTGAAACAATATGGGACGAAACTGCAGACATGTCCATTTAATGCCAATTTCATTATATTAAGACGTGAAATGAGTGCGTCTTTTATTAATTGTTATGAAATAATTATTTAGTTCTCAAAATAATATTATAACTTGAATTTGTGTAGTAGGGTATACGTAGTATATAATTGATTGTACCTATATATAATGTACTGGTGTTTAGCCATATACATACATACCTAGGTAGATGTTGATACATATATATATATATACTGTAAATGATTTGTATTTCGCAGAATGAATTTGGAGACCTTACTTCAGTGTTTGATCTTTAAAGTAGACCCTTAGACAATCACCACAATAAAATTTAAGGTCTATGGAAATCATTAAATACATAGACCAAGTTGTCAATTAAGTTATTTCTTATGATGTGTGCGATTCAATATGTACAGTAGCTAGAGAGAAAGAAGGTGTTATGTAAACTTACTTTACCTTCCTCTAATACAAATTTTTGGATTTTAAATTCATGTTATCGAGCACTAACCATATCTATATTTTCCTGATCCAGGTCTGGAATATGAAATTTTTAGTTTGATAAGGAATCAGTCTAAAGTACACCTATTCTTCTATAGTGTGTAAATTCTTAATTCCACGTCTCTTTTATATTTAATAATTACCTTATCGTAAACATTTGTAATGATTTTCACAGTTAGCTTGATGTTTTTGTCCAAATCACAATGTTATTGCCAACATTATGAATGAATTATTGGCTCCTTCTATTTAATTGACCTATATAAATTAGGTGAATTCCGTCTTTTCGTATTGCAGAGTTATCTGCTCTTGTGAGCAGGTATGGATTGTTACGTCATTGGTTTGTGATAGTAATGTCATCAATTTTTGAGAAAACGACATAATTTTCTCACACAACCCAATGACGTAACAATCAATACCTGCCCACAAGAGAAGATAACTCTGCAATACGCAAAGACGGAATAGGCTTGTGGCTGTGTTAACTTTTCATGTCAAGTATATATATACCGGTAAATCATTAGTGTGGGGATCTCAACTCCAGGATGTGCCTCCTCATCTTCTCCATATTTGTCTTGATAGCACTAGTTCCATTATGCTTTGTAATCTTAAATGTCTTGTTGCTTTTATGAAAATGTAATCAATTATAGACATTGCTTTTAACTATTTATCCTCTTTAATTTTAAGTTTATTTACTATTTTGAGCATATGATCAGTTTGAAAAGGCAAAATCTAGTACTGCTAACTATATTCATGACCACATTGAAATTGGCTAGACATCAATTTTAGTCAAGTAGGAAAATAAATTGCAAACACCAATGAACAATCATCATGTGTTATCAGTTTTTGAACCCCAGCTGTGTTTTATTTTATTTTTTTCATATTAGGGGGCATTTTTTATTAGCTGTATATTACTCGTTTAGTGGTCACTGGTTTGACACGAACGTAACAGACTTTTTGTATATTATTTTATTAGTTTATTGAACCCCAAGCTGTGTTCCATTTTATTTTTTTTCATATTAGGGGGCATTTTTTATTAGCTGTATATTACTTTAGTGGTCACTGGTTTGACACAAATGTAACAGACTTTTTGTATATTATTTGATTGGTTTATTGAACCTGCGATTGCAGATTTTCCATGTTTCTCTCTGGAGTGATGACATTACTGTATGCCTTGACAAAACATCTAGTGTTGGTGTTGAAACCGTCCCCACAATTTATATTAGGAAGACGAAAATTGCAGGGACTTGGACATTTCAAAGATTTGTCTTACATTCCGAATGATAATATATAATATTCTTGCCTGATTGGGACCCAATTTTCATCAAGGCTATTGTGCCAATACTAGCTAATGAAGCGAAATAAAATTAAAAAGTAACTTGATGTACAAAGAATATAAATCATTTATTTATTACATCGTTATTTAAATATCAAAACCAAAGTTAAGAGGTATTCATGTTTAACCAGCAAACAGTCTTGTATTTACCAGAAATAGCGAATAAAATCTAAATATTAATCTTTTCGTTGTGTTTTGTGGCTGAACGAGCAAGTGTCTGCGAGTTGTCATAAGGGGTTGGATTTGGTTATATTGCTTACAATGACTTATCAACTAGAACCAAATTGAACTTATTCACATGGAACCTTTCTCAGGAGGTGGAGATTCAAAATTGTGCAAATGGAGAAGCCGAAGGCTTTAACTTCGAAACAGTTGAGATCCCCATCCTACAACCGTATATATACAATTACTGATTGTAAAGAGATTAATATGCATGCTACCAGAATGGCCCGACGTCTATATCCACCCTGGGTCATAACTTAGAATTAGTCGAGATCCCCACACTGTAATGATTTACCGGTATATATATACTTGGCATGAAAAGTTAACACAGCCACAAACCTATCTGATTTTAGAAACTTCACTTTTTGCAAACTTTCACAGTACAATTATCTAACTTTGAGCAAGCTATTGGTCAAGTATGGCTCTAGGCTTCGGGAGTTCTTCAGAATTTGTGCGAGCTTCACACAAATCTCACCTGTGACCTTGAGTATTTGAATCCATAATTTTTTCTCGCGTGTTAAAATCAATACATAGATTACCATAAGGACCACTGATATTTGGCTAGCAGGTACTTTGATTTGGACACTATCAAAATTCTCCATTTAAATGACCCCGACCTACTTTCAAGATCACATCAAATATGTTACGAAATTCAAACATTATCTTAAGATCCCCAGTATAGCCTTTATGAACATTTGACCCTGACCAGCTCTCAAAATCGACCTTTGAAGTAAATCCAGTTATTAAACAAGAGGGCCTGTATCGCTCACCTGAATATTTTTAAAGCAATTGGTATGAAGTAAAGATGTAGCACTCCATGGTAGGTGCTGTAAGTACATATGAAATTTCAGAAAGATCCATCCAGTAGTTGAGATATAGCGAGAACAAATTTCAAACAGAGCCCCACCCCTATGCCCCTAGGGGGGTCATACCCACCAATTATACAAAATTGAGTCCCTTTGGTCCAAGAATGCTCCAGATTAAATAAGGATAAAATCCTGATGGTAGAAGAAGGATTTTAAAGGTTTTACTTCTATTTCCCCTCTTGGGCCCCGCCTCTCTGCCTCCAGGGGGCCAGACCCACAGTTTATACAAAATTGGTTCCCCTTCACCCAAGGATGCATCATACCAAATTTGCACAAAATCCTGTCATTCCTACAGAAGAAGGATTTTGAAGATTTACCTCTATTGGGCCCCTCCCTTCTGCCCCCAGGGGGGGCACACTCGCTGTTTATACGAAATTGAGACCCTTTTGCCCAACGATGCTCCAGACTGAATTAGGATAAAATCCCTTAATCCCTATGGTAGAAGGATTATAAATATTTCCCCTATTGGGCCCCACCCCTCAGGTCCCAGGGGGGCCAGACCCACCGTTTATACAAAATTGGTTTCCCTTTACCCAAGAATGTTCCACACCAAATTTTGTTAAAATCCGCTGTGGTTCATGACTAGTAGTGTAAAGTTGACGGACTTTGTTTTCAAGAAGTTGTCCAAAAAGAAAAGTTTAGACAGATGCTGCACCATAGATTTACTAGGACCATATATAGTCTGTAATTTGTTAGTATGGAGGGCCATCTAGCATGTTAATATGCTGGAACAAGTTATAAATAAATTTGTCCTTAACCCACTTTGAAGGTCACATGAAAAATGAGTTTGGTAACAGCATTGAGAAATGTAGGTCCATTGGGCCTTTTTGTCAAGCTTAAATTCTGAAAAGATTTTCACATATTTACCCTTATGAACTTAGAAAACAAGTCAAGGTAATTCATTTGAACAAGCAGTCTTTTAAGCCACATTAAACAGGGTTATGGCCCTTTGCTTATTTCTAACACTAAAGTTTATCCTGATCATAACATCCCTATGATGTAAATTCTTTGGAAGACAGAGTGTTGTGTACTGAAATCTTGCCTCACTTGAAGTCATGTGGCAATAGTAGATTATCATCTTGCCATACTTTTGTTGAGATTGGATTTTCATAATAAGAACATTTTTGCTCTTTCAAAATATGAGAGTAACCCAATCAACTAGGACAGATTGCGAAGATAAAAATTAACAAGAGGCCCATGGGCCTTAACAGTCACCTGATATATTTATACAGAGAGTTGACTTTGTTTTTAACATGAACAGAAATATTATTCAAAGTGACAAAAAACAATAAAACCACCTTACTCAATATCTAGCATACAGATTTCAGACTAAAAAGGATTTGAAACTAGCACCTCTGATTCTTAACAAGGAAAATGAAGAAATTTTAGCACACTGACTCCTTTGAGCCCCACCCTACAGCCCTTGGGGGTAGGGCTGGCTCAAAATTTTCAAAGTATCAAACTGTCAATTCAAGGTTATAATTCCAATCAAGTTATTAACATGTAATATT